TAGCATAATAATTCATAATTTTTTTGTTCTGTTCTGTTCATATTAGTTACCTGATGTACATAATTAGTTTTCAGCTTTTCTATCAATATCTCATGTACAGGTAATTTTGAATTAATTTTTAATGTGTCTTCAATACTCTCAGCACACGGGAGTTCTTTCTAAGCTTTCTTTGATTTGAATTGTAATTTTATTAGTTTTGTAGTTTGTGTCTGTAAGTCGTTTTTTGCTCAATAAACTTGTCTTTGCCTTTCACTCCTTTACCGCGTGGAGTGTCTTTACAAATATACTTGTGTACTGAGATTCTGAACATGGGTGAACATGTCTTGTTTTGATGAATATTTTTGTCATTTTTGGTAAAAAATTATATTTTCGACTTCTCCTTGAAAACTGCTTGTCCAACTGCTTTGATATTCTATATGTAGGTGTATCAGGTGGACCTCTGTCCGATATGTTGATTTTGTGACAATATCTTCAATTCTCTAATTTTGATGAATATTTTTTGTCATTTTTGGTAAAAAGTGATATTTTCGACTTCTCCTTGAAAACTGCTTGTCCAATTTTTGTGATATTGTATATGTAGGTATATAAGGTGGACCGCTGTCAGATTTGTTGATTTTGTGACAATATCTTCAATTCTCTAATTTTGATGAATATTTTTGTAATTTTTGGTCAAAAACGTTATTTTCAACTTCTTCTTGAAAACCTCTAATCCGATTGCTTTGTAACTTTATTTGTATGTACCTTGGGTGAATCTCTGTTAGATTTGTTCACTTCCTGTCAACATCTTCAATTCTCTATTTTTAGCAAATATTTTCGTCATTTTTCATTAAAAAACATATTTCTGACTTGTCCTTCAAAAGCAGTAGTCCAAATTCTTTGATACTTGTACACATGCAACTTGGGTAGACCTCTAATAGATTTGTTCATTTCGTAAAGATATCTTCAAATCTCTACTTTTAGTGAAATATTTTCTGCAACAAAATCAAGAAAGTTGATGTCTTGCGATATTAAAGCAGCTAGCATTAAGTTTAAATTGCTTCTCAGTCATTGCTTTCAGAGCATGCAGGCTGCTAGTAATATATTAAAAGTAGATATCCTGTCGTTACTTTCCTTCTCATTTCATTTTGAGAATATTGGCGGTTTATTTTTTACCCATCCACAATCCTAACGTTTGATGGTATATATAATGTTTAGTGGATGATGCGTTCCTCTCAGATTTACATAGTGGTAATGTAAATACATTGATACCTTATTGTATTTCTTCAAAGCATGTATAACATATCTGTATTCAACCTGCCAAATAAATATACTTATTTGTTTTGAAAGCATCACAAGTTTGTGATCCTTGTAAATGATTTCAATATCAATAATGGCTTTAGTAAATATATGGGTTTTTTTCTTGTTTTCACAGGAGCATTGCAGCCTTAACACTGATTGCCTTATCAACATTATTAAAGTTTCCAAACCCACTTAATGCTATGCAAATATTATGGATTAATATTATCATGGATGGCCCTCCAGCACAAAGGTATACATAGGTTACTAATCATTATTATATTTCTGTCATCAAAATTAGAATTCACCCTTCAGTAAAATACCCTATAAAAGTGTTGTTGACATGTTTTTGTTATTAGAAAATGTATGTCAAGTTTACATCACATTTGAATGCTTTTTGACTCCCATGTGCGAAGCACACAATGGGAGTCTTTGCAGTTAGTGTGTGTGTGTGTGTGTGTGTATGTGTGTCCGTCTGTTCCACTGCTATCTCAAGAACCATACATCGGTAGTTTTTAGGGTAATATTAGTACATATTAATTACCTAATTTGCATAATTTATTAATAATTAAGTAGTAAGCATTACATTTCAATGAAACTTGGTACATAGATACTCGAGGACTATGCAGAGACCTAATTAGTTTCAGGGTAAATAATCTACAATCTACAGGATCTACAATCCGGGCAGGGGTTATTAATTTGGGTCGTGTCTGTGCATCCGTGTGTGCACATTCACGTTACCAGCTTTTTCTCACACATGTGTGATCCAATTCAGTTCAGAGTTGGTACAGAGACAGGAATTGATGGTATTATTAGGCACATCAAGTTATTTTTTCGATTCTTCAAAGTTTCACTGTGTTTTTCTTTGATTTTTAACATTTTACCATCAAAATTGCTGGAAAATCCGACTTTTCCCGAAATTTGCCAAGTTTATTCCAAGTTGTGATGACGCATGCGCAGTTCTCGTCTCGGTGGAAATCACAGTCATTTTCGTGTGAGGATATTGTATCCCGGAATTGTATCTTTATTTGCGCAACGCTTATATGGACAAAATTCTGTCTCGTCATTTTCGAAGGTAAGAAACTGTGCTTATTATGGTATTTTAATTATTGTTTGTGTCTCAGGTTTGGTGATCGTGAGAAACTATTGCTAACCTGGCGAGAGTTTCGCCAGAAAAACTGCCTTTCTATTATGGTTGTAGGAACTGATTATGTATTGTGTAAATTGAAAGTTTACCTCGTGATTTAAGAGGTTTGCAGTGCTCTCACCGGGATTCAAACATCGTGGTGGTGTCTCCGCAATGCTGCTCTGAGACACAGCCACGCTTGCCAGACTCTGCCACGTTCAAAATCATTTACATTTGTCATTTACATTTACATTTGTCTATGATTTTCACAGCTATTGTTCTATGAGATGTGTCCGTGCTGTTACAACATAACATAAACAGCCATAAACAAGTTTATTTAGGTCGGCATGTAATCATTGAAAGTGTTGGTTTATTTACGTAATCCACTGATCACGCCATAGCTGAAGTCAAAAATATGTCGCTACTCTGAGAGCTTGACCACAACGCTAATGAGTTGACTGCAACACTAAAGAAATCCCACCTCCAATAATCAAATCTAATAATTTTATTGTGAATCTGTCATGCACGATTGCTATTTCCGGTATTCATTTGCACTTGCTAGAAAATTGAAAGGAAGTGTGAAACGTTGTTTCAAGACAACATATTAGACTAGAATTATCGAGAAAACACAAGTCAAGTTCGGCCAACCATGACTGCTTGAAAGTACTGTAATTCAATATTAATGAATCTATCATCACTTTTAAATTACCTGAAGTAAAAGTTATACCTGAGTGCCAGGGAAATTACTACACCCGTGACTGATTCATTCACCATTGAGCATGGATGACTAGACACAACGAAGGAGGTTTATCGGTAAATCAAACCTCAGTCAACAGAGATACATTTTCTGAATCAGCTATTTATTTCTTAACGATTAAGTCAGGGGTGCAATTTTAATGTTTAGCTACCATAATTAATCTTCATTATAAGCAGGAAAATAAATTATGACCCCGATTGAGATGGATATTTCTTAACGGCGACCATGTTTTCTAAGGTTGGCAATGCAATATGCAAATTACCAGCACACTCGCAAAGCTATTTAAGGAGCAGTAAAACAAGATTAGGGAGGGAGGGGATCAAATTCATGTAATCCTCAATTTTAATGATGTTGACTTAATAGTCATAATTTTTTTTTTCAAACTCCAGATATTATTGTATATAATTGTAAACAGTTAACAATATTAATATATTTTTTGGCAATATATCCCATTTTAATTATCTAAATTTATTTCAGTGTATACAGTAAATCTATATTTAAAAAAAAAACACTACAATATGTTAATTAGTGTGCAAATTAATATGCAAATTAGCTTCCAACCTGAGACAATTTCTTGGGGTAAACACTGCAATCCAGTTCAACGGAAATTTGACATACACTTACTACATGATCACTACCTCTGCTGATTAGTTTTTTATGCAATTCTATCTGTATTTATATTAAATGTATTAATTTTTTGTATTTTTCTCAAAAGTAATTTTTTAGTTCTTTAGATATCTTGGCACCCATGTGGTTCAGTTCAAGTGAAATTTTCTGCATATCTCTGCTCAGATTTCAATGACATTGAAAACACAAGTACTCTGGTGGTATGCACATTCTTGATATATTTTTTTTGTAGAATCCTGTGCATATTAATTTGACAACTTTGTGCAGTGGAAACAGACTAAAATAGTACAGTGTGAACTGCAATTTATTTTTGGCTGGTATAAATATATTAAGTAATATGTTTTCGTACTAAAAAGACTGTAAACAAATATGTTTTTTAATTAAATTTAACAGCCAATGGGAGCACATATGCTACAACCTCTGCTTACGTTTGACTAAATGTTTTTTTGTTTTTTGCAGGTGCAGAGCCAGAATTGTTTTCTCAGAAAGCAAAGCCACTGAAACTTCATATATAACAAAAGCATACTATTCGCTGCATGTCTGACAAATGTGTGAATTTTTGCAGTTCCTCTTTTTAGCTCCGCTGGCGACTTTGTCGAGCGGAGCTTATCATATGAGTGATTGTCCGTCTGTGTCAATGTTTTACTTTTTCGACTTCTTCTTGAAAACTACAAGCCTGAATGCTTTGATACTTGGTGTATATGTACCTTGGGTAGACCTCTCTTAGATTTGTTCATTTCATGATGATATCTTCAATTCTCTGATTTTGGTGAATATTTTTGTCATTTTTGGTAAAAAGTGATATTTTCAACTTCTTGTTAAAAACCTCAAGTCCAATTGCTTTGATATTACATATATAGGTACTACATGTGGACCTCTCTTAGATTTGTTCATTTTGTAATGATATCTTTAATTCTTTAATTTTAGTGAATATTTTTGTCATTTTTGGTAAAAAGTGATATTTACGACTTCTTGTTGAAAACCGCAAGTCCAATTGCTTTGATATTACATATATAGGTGCTATGTGTGGTTCTAACTCAGATTTGTTCATTTAATGATGATATCTTCAATTCTCTAATTTTGATGAATATTTTTGGTAAAAAGTGATATTTTCCACTTCTTGTTGAAAACCGCAAGTCTGATTGTTTTGATACTATACATATTGTTCATTTTCTAATGATATCTTCAGTTCTTTAATTGAAATGTGCACTGCTAACAGCGGAGCTATCTCAGCCGAGAGGCTGCTTGTTTTTTCACTTTGAGAAGTGCTGTCAACCAAGTGCTGTGTTTCTCTGTACATAAAAGTTCAATTTCACATGATTTGCTAATATTAATGTATGATAATAAAAACTGTACACCAAGGATCATTGCAGTTTTTCAGTTCCTCATCTGGTGCTAGTATGACAAACAGTATCATTGCCCTGTTACTGTCAAAAATATCAGTTTTTTTTTACTGGAACACTTCGGTGATTGGCAGTGTCCTTGTATTAGGAATACAGTTGTACAAGGAAGTTTATCTAAACAGACACAACACTGACTCTTCTACATATTTGCAAATCTGATTTGCATACTTACTTACTGTTGTACTTGTTTGTTGCTATCTGGTTTTCTTGCTGAGACCAGGATGGAGAGTGCTATGAACTTGAAATTGCCAATTTATGTCCATGTCAAAAACTGATTAAATTATATGTTGCAACTTTCGAATGACAAAAAGCGAAGGCAGTGTCATTCATGACTTCTTTGATTGAATAAATTTTTACTGCTTGGAGGCCATTTTTTCCCTCAAAAATCTATAAAAAAACAAGCTTTTTCTAGTCGTTACCAGCTTTTTCTCAGATATATGTCATCCAGTTTTGTTTCAAGTTGGTACAGGGACAGGTAATAATTGTTTACAAGTGCACATCGCATTAACTTAGTACAAAGATGCTCTAGGACAATGTACAAACCTGATTAGTTAAAATCTGTTCATATTAATTCCTAATTAGCATAATAATACATAATTTGTTAGTACTAATCACATTTCAATAAAACTTTGTACATAGATGGTCTGTTACTTTGCACAGACCTCATTAGTTTTACACTCAAATCTTTTCATATTAATTTTCTGATTTGCATAATT